TTTTTAATTCATACATGGAGGAAAAAATAGAAAAAGAACAAAATACACCTTCTAGAAAATATATCCATTGACATTAAAAACTTGATAAATGAGTTAAATAGCAGATTAGATATAGCTGAAGAGAGATGTGGTAAACTGAAAGATGGATCTTCAAAGGAGGTAGCAGTGGGGAAAGGAGTAGCAGGACTAGGCTAATTACTTCACATTTCTCATCATTTTTTTGAGACAGAGTCTCACTTTGTTGCCCAGGCTAGAGTGAGTGCCGTGGCGTCAGCCTGGCTCACAGCAACCTCAATCTCGGGCTCAGCGATCCTACTGCCTCAGACTCCAAGTAGCTGGGACTACAGGCATGCACCACCATGCCCGCGCTAATTTTTGTGTATATATATATTTTTAGTTGGTCAATTAATTTATTTCTATTTTTGGTAGAGACGGGTCTCGCTCAGGCTGGTTTCGAACTCCTGACCTTGAGCAATCCGCCCGGCTCGGCCTCCCAAAGTGCTAGGATTACAGGCGTGAGCCACCACGCCCAGCCCTCATCATTTTAATAGTACATATAAATTAGTGCTTTCTCTTCACCATTATCCCTATCAGATTTAGTCCTTTTCTTAAATGGTGATAACTCCACAGACACTCATTGGATATATTTGAGGATTAAGTGAGATAATGCACATAAGGTGTTAACACAATGCTTGGCATAGAGTAAGTGTTCTATAGCTGTTAGCTACTGTATTTATTGTTCTAGGGAGATCTGAGCAGGTCACTTAACTTCTCTAAGCTTCAGTTTCCTTAGCTGTGATATGGAGATAATAGCTGCCCTGCCTCCTTACCAGGGTTGTTACATACATCCTCACTATTATATCTATTTCATAGGTGGGAACATTAAGGCTTACATAAATGGGTTAGAAATTTGCTCAAGGTTACGGAGTAATTGGTGAACTAGGATTCCAAAAAGCAATCCAAAGTTTGTCTCTGAACACTGTAGTACACAGCCATACCTTTCATTCTGAAGGCTATTTTGAAATTCTAAGAGTGATTTATGATTTTTTAAAATGTGGTATTAAATTTAAGAACTTCCTATCTTTATCCTTTACCTTTTGGAAGGTAACTGGAGACTGCACAACCTTTCTCACTGCTGCTCCATCAGCTTTTTTTTATATGGTAAAGTGGAAGTTCCTATACACATAACTTTTTTAACCTCTGTATGTATCCATGATTTTTCACATATCATATTGTAAGTTGAGGACAGAAATGTTCTCCTGATCAGCTCTGACTCTGCTAACCAAGCTTTCCTTACAGCAAGGCCTAGAAATGTGATTATTTGAACAAAGAGGCCAGGCTCGTGGCTCACGCCTATAATCCTAGCACTCTGGGAGGCTGAGGCAAAAGGATTGCTTGAGGCCAGGAGTTCAAGACCAGCCTAAGCAAGAGCGAGACACGGTCTCTACAAAAAAACATGGAAAAACTCGGCCAGGCATGGTGGTACATGCCTATAGTCCCAGCTACTTGGGAGGCTGAGCAGGAGGATCACTTCAGCCCAGGAGTTTGAGGTTGTAGTGAGCTATGATGACACCTCTGTACTCGGGCGACAGAGCAAGACCCTGTCTCAAAAAAAAAAAAAAAAAAAGAATATGGATATGTGAACAAAGAAAACAAAAGTACAGAGGAAGGGAAAACTCTACTTTGAGACTTGGTATCCTTAGAGTACAACCATGGTACTTTTTCAAGTGGCAAATGTGTTTTGACAAAATCTCTGGCAACTGGAAAAGCCAGGGACATAATAAGCCTACTAGCAGTAAACACCTAGAAAAAATGCCAAATTAAATTTTATCAAGAGGATGATTAAATAAGGTTTCCTAAACTCAAAGGTTAATAGCAACCACTTACTCTCTATGTTATGCAAAATGTTTTACTTATAATCCTCAACAACTTTATGAGGTAGGTTTTAAATAACCTATCTGATGGCACAAAGTAAGCAGCAGAGCTAGGATATGAACCTAGGTCTGGATGATTCTAAAACCTAAACCTTTCTTTTCTTACACCTATGATGCCTCTTGGTTACCAATCGTATGAGTTTTATATTGTTTTTGATAGAACTGAGCACAATTAAGCAAATAAAGGACTGCTAACAGTTTGCAAGCAGCACTGAAGAAGTTAGCCAGAAACCGCATACTGCTTTTCCAGATAAATAGCAACATATAGTCAAACTCACAAGTGCGTCCAGAAAAACAGTTCTTTTACAGATAAATGTCAGGGAATTTTAAAATCTTGATGGAGCCTCACCTCCCCATGCATACAATGACTGAACTTGTCCTCTTTGAGTTCAGGTTATCCGTCTCCTTGACTAGGAAAAGACCTGGGATCAGTCATGTCTGAGTTTCTCCCCTATTCCAACCCAGTACTGGGGGGGGCAAACTTTCAAATGCAAACTTGCAAATGTTTGGGTTCTGGGCGTGTAGAGGCCACAAGAACAAGGGAAGCCAGAGCCTGCACTACTGAGGCAATCAGAGAAGTTGGTGTATCCATAAGTCACTCAAGTTGCCTCTTAATTTTTTTTTTTTTTTGAGACAGAGTCTCGCTATGTTGCCCAGGCTAGAGTGAGTGCCATGGCGTCAGCCTAGCTCACAGCAACCTCAAACTCCTGGGCTCGAGCGATCCTTCTGCCTCAGCCTCCCAAGTAGCTGGGACTACAGGCATGCGCCACCATGCCCGGCTAATTTTTTATATATATATCAGTTGGCCAATTAATTTCTTTGTATTTATAGTAGAGACGGGGTCTCGCTCTTGCTCAGGCTGGTTTTGAACTCCTAACCTTGAGCAATCCGCCCGCCTCAGCCTCCCAAGAGCTAGGATTACAGGCGTGAGCCACCGCGCCCGGCTCAAGTTGCCTCTTTATGCCTTAATGGTCTAGGGAAGCTAAGTGACAGCTTAGCTATAAAGCCAGGTATATGGTATTGTTCTCTGACATGGTATACTATACTATACATGGATACTATAATATCCACACATTAATATCCTTAAAAATAATTTGTCTACAAATAGCTATTTTTAGGCAAAAGTTAATAAAATCCAATTATTCAAGTGTTTCTCATTTGTTCAGTGTGAGAAGTAACACAAAAATTAGTAGGAGAATGTCGCTATGCCCAAAGAATTTAATCTAGTATGGGGCATAAAAAATATGAGTCATTACAACATCAGACCTGTTGTTGTAGTGCTGAAGCTTGAAAGAAGGGCATAGACGTGGTTAAGGGATCAACGACAAAAAAATCACTGCGTTAGCCACCGTTTATCTATAATATTCACAGAAACCTTGCAAGTTAAGTATTACCCTCAATTTAAAAATGAGAATGTAGAACTTAAAACTGATTATATATCAGGTTAGGAGAACTAAAGAATGAAGATTAGGGATGTCTTCAAAGACACAGAAGTGAGACTTTCAAAGTGTAAGGGAGAATTGCAACTGAGGAAAGGAAGCACAAAACCATGGCACGTAGTTGGAAAACAAGCTGTTTTGCGGCATAGATTATACAGGAAAAGGAGGCTCAGAGGCAGAAGGGGAACACACAGAGGATGCCCTGAATGCCTGGTAGTGGGTCTAAATGTATCTGCGTGGGTGTGAGAGTTACTAAGGGCCTTTTAGCCAAACAGTAGCAGGAAAAACTTGTCAAGTGTAATCCAGCAAGGGCAGGTGAGACGAGAAGGATGGACTGTGGCTACAACAGTCAAAGTGCGAGGTAAAAATAAAGGCCTGAAATTGGACAGATACAAGAGAAAGACATATTTTCATATAATTCAAGCCTTTTTCATCAGATATTAAGAAACCATGGTTCAGGTTTTTAAAACTTGGCAATTTTAGATATTCTTTTGTTTAATTTTGGCCAATGTATCAGGTGTAAAATAAAATTTACAAAACAAAAGAAAGCATGGTTTACTCTTTTGAAATTTTAATTTAAGAGCAGTATTTTCTTTTGTAATCAAACACCAAGAGTTAACCAAACTTGGATTTTATCTAAAGGATTGGAATTTCTGGAAGTTTCAATTTTCTACATTGAGTCAGCATACTGAAGTGTTGGTTCTAAGTAATCCAGCCTGAGATTAAATTCTGGCTCTACCACTTCCTAGCTATCTGATCTTAGACAGTTATTTAAGCTTTCTCTGCCGTGGTTTCCTCATTGTTAAAATGGGAACATAATAGCACCTATCTCAAAAGGTTGTAATTAAAGAGCTTAAACAGAATCTGGCATATAAGTTAGTTATTGCTATACATTTTTTATTGCATACATTTATGTCAGCTATTATGCATTTTTAATTTATAATCATTTTATAAATAACTATATTTTACTTTAGTAATCAAAATGCAAATATAGCAAAATTAACTAAAGAAAGTCTAGCAATAAATATATATCTTCAAATGTGGAAAAGATTGTTTAATGGGTAAAAACATGATATTATTTCAATCTGAGCTTCTTAGCATTCCTCTTCTGTGATATATCCATTCTGCAATCTATCAGAACTTGATTTGTATAAATATCTACATCTTTAGCCAGACATAAAAAAGAAACAGACCCCTGAATAAGTTATATCTAATTCACTGACTTCAAATTCTAAAGGCCATTAGGTTAAAAAGATTCCTAGGGCCTTTTTATTTCAAAGCAACAAAAATCTCAGTACAGCCAAGTCTTTATCAATCCTTTGTATTCTGTTGAAATAAGAATTCCTTTTTTACTAAGATTTACAGCTTTTACTAATGAAAACACAACTTTAAAGGAATAGGTGCAAATCACACGAGATAAAAAAGCTTTAAAGTCTTACCACGTGATGAAGGTGAGCCTTGAGGTTGCCCAAAAGGTTTTCCCTTATGGGTACAACTTGGTTTGGATATATATTTGACTTTTCTAGGTCGATTTAATGGACAGTTGTGACCATGTTGATTCTCTCTAAAACAGAAATTACATAAATTATTATATCCTTAGAATCTTATATCAGTGATACACTTTAATATTTTAAAAAGCTCAAATTAAGCTGGGCTTAGTGGTGTACACCTGTAGTCCCAGCTACTGGGGAGGCTGATGTGGGAGGATTGCTTGATCCTAGGAGTTTGGGGCTGTAGTGTGCTGTGACTGCACCTGACTGCCACTGTACTCCAGCCTAGGTAACTTAATGAGACCCTATCTGAAAGGAAAGGAAAGGAAAAAGGAAAAAGGAGAAAGGAAAGGAAAAAGGAGAAAGGGAAGGAAAAAGGAGAAAGCAGAGGAGAGAGGAGAGGAGAAGAAAGGAAAGGAAGCATTTCTACAATATAATACCACTTTACCCCAATTAGAATGGCCATTATCAAAAAATCAGAAAACCAAAGATGTTGGTGTGGATGTGGTAAAAAAGAACCCTTAAACACTGTTGGTGGAACTGTAAATTATTACAACCTCTATGGAAAACAGCATGGAGATGCCTCAAAGACTAAAAGGAGATCCCCCATTCAAACCAGCAATCCCACCACTGGGCATCTACCTAAAGGAAATGAAGTTATTTTACAAAAAAGACACTCGTATCTGTATGTTTATTGCAGCACAATTCACAATAGTAAAGATATGGAATCAACCTAAGTGCCCATCAACGGATGAGTGGATAAGGAAAATGTAGCATGTGTGTACTTACATGTACATACATGCACACATATACACACATACAGGGAGTACTACGCAGCCATAGAAAGGAATGAAATAATATTTTTTGCAGCAACTTGGACAGGACTGGAGACCACCATCTTAAATAAGTACTCCAGGAATGGAAAAACAAACACCACATGTTCTCACTTATAAGTGGGAAGTAAATGATGGGAATGCACGGCTATAAAGTGGTATAATGGACACTGAGAACTAAGGAGCGGGTAAGGGATAAAAATTTACATATCAGGTACAATGTACACTATTCTCTTGATGGGTACACTAAAAGTCCTGACTTCAACATGGTACAATGCATACATGTAACAAAACACATTTAATCTATTGACATAAAAAATAGCCTAAATTATAGCCCAGATTAATACATTTACTTGACACTGCTTATTCTGTACTTCAGTGATACATTTAATATATAATAATCCTCAATAAATTATTCTATTTCATATCTCAAATCTTGTTTTTACCACAGAGATTGTTTGTGGTTACCTCTCTACCCATTTTGAATTATCCATATATTTGGAAGTCATTTATATATTTAATTCCCTGCTTTGTCCTAGAAAAGACTTAAGGGGAATCTCTGGTATTTGAAGTAAACTCAAAACTACACATACAAGTAATCTGACTACTTCTTGGTTTGTGTTGGTAGGATTTCCTCCAGACTCTGAAATTATACATTGATTATAATTCTAATCACTTATTTTGTCAAAGGTGGTACTTTTTAACAACACTCTACTGCTAACTCATGTTCCCCTTATGTATTACCAACAGATAACATTTTGCATGTTTGTTTGCCATATATAAGAAATTTTATTCTTGGGCACATTTCTTCAGCATTCTATGTTTCATTAATTACTGCCTAATGAACTCATATCCAAGTCCTCTGCAGGTGATGAAGGTGAAATACATAATAATATTTACAAGTGAATGAGCATAACTGGGTAGGGGATGGGTAGCAGAAGGAGAATCGATGGGGACTGGCTGTTTCTGCAAGAGTGACTATGCCAAGTGGAGAAACAAGGAGAGCAGTTACAAGGCAAATTCCAGAAGCAAATATTAACCAAACACTAAGGCAAAGGAAACAGGACTCAACAGATATCAAATTTCATATTTCAGGTATACTGAAGTGCTTTGCTAGCTTAGTTAGAAATTTGGTACTATTTTTACCTTTTTCCTTGATGATTCTATCAACATATACAGACCTAATTATGGGGCTATTTTTTCTTCACTTTATCATCATAACTCTAAGCAGGGTAGATGCAAATACACTGAACTTGGGTCACAAAAGTGCTGCATTTCTTCTTATTAGGCCTGACATGATGTTGCCAAATAATATATGCCAACCCGTGGCTTACCCTCTTGGAGAAGGGCAGTGTTGCCATCTGGACAGTTGAGTAGTGCTGAGTTTGTTAGGCAATGGTTTCGGTGCAATTGTTGGTAGTTGTGCTGATTCAGACAATAGCTCATTCATCAGACCATATGCTTGTGAGATTCGACGACTAAAGTTTTCAGAGAGCTGCAATCTTTAGAAAAAGAATTAAAGATTATTTACTAAAAGAGTCACTTTCAGCTTATATCTCTCGATGGAAGATGATGTTTCAAGACACCTAGAATTTGTTTTCAATGCTTTTCAAATTCTTCTGTTCATCAGATTTCTGAAAATAATTAGGTGGTATTATTAAAGGTATTTGTAGTTCTAGCCTTTGGAATATTTCCCAAATGCACGTACATATTTGGGTTAGGAAAGGGAGGAGAATAGCAGAAATAAAAATCATAAAAATTGAATGAAACAAATAATATTTGAAAACAAATTCCTAAAAAGCAAGTGAGTCTCATTATTTTCCTGGCAGTGGTATCTCTCATAATTTTCTGTTTATCAACAAAAAAGAGACTACTGTGAAAACAGAATTCCTAAGGCTTTATCTATGTCTAGGATAAGCAAGCTAGCGAGAATACTCAGGGTATAGCTACAAAACTCACCTGTCTTTTTCATGCTTCCTCTTTTGTCTCAGTCTGAGTTCCCTTGAAGTCATGTAAAACTGCAAAAGAAATATCCAGTTAATTCATTATTGTTCAATACAAATAATTAAACCATTAGACATAATTCTGCTATTATAGAAAGCAGTACAAAATACTGTCATATTTGATGAATCTTTCTACCCTAGCACAAAACATGAATATGTTAAATTAAGCATCATGCAATTAAAGTAAAATCCAATTTAATAAATGGAATGCAAAATTTATAAAGTATCCCAAAAGTCTCCATACAAAGGAAGAATTCTGTAATGAATGAATATTTTGTAAATAAAGGTACATTTAGCTACAATTTCCCATTTTCCCTAAATATGGTTTTGGGACACCCTGTATTTTACTAGTTGAATCAATATATTTTCTCAAAGGGGAGAACCTTATTAGCTTTGCTTAAAATGGAAAACAGGAACATGTTAGGAATGAAAACACCTATATTCTGTACTCAATCTTGTGATTAATCTCACTAAGAGCTTTGTTAATAAAGCAGAAATTGAGTCATCAGCATTTACAATCATCATTCTGATGTTTTAAAATGTTCATCCAAAACCTGATGCAGTGAGTTCATTGTGACTTGTAAACTCTTCAAAATTTATGTACCAGAAGGCAAACAACAAATGACACACACATCTTATCCCAAAACATTAAGAATTATTGTCATGAGTTACATGTGAGATTAAATCTTTTCATACACAATGATATATATATAAATTGGCACACAGAAGTGAATTTACTTTCTCGAGATCCTATAGAGAAGTAGTCAGTAACAAATTAAAGCTCTTTTTGATATATGATAGAAATTCAAATGAAATTTTTAATTACATTAATCCATCACTAATGCCATCTTTTTACCTAAATAGATGTTAAAAATAAAGAAACAAGTGTTTGCAATCTTGAATGAGATGTCACAAAGTCTATGAACTAAGGAGTCTTATGCCTTATGCCCTCTGAGTTAATTTATTTTAAATCTGGATATAGGATAACCATCTTGGGTATTTACGTCATTGGCAGGAAAGGCAATGTCTGAACCCATTCTTCACAGGAGGTTACACACACACATACACACATGCTTACATACATGCATGCACTTTAAGATTCTAGTTATGTCCAACTGTTAGAGATGCTGTTAAGAATTAAATAAAAAATAAAAAAATAAAAAAATAAAAAAAAAAGATTCTAGTTATGTACCTCAGTATCCATGAGGGTCACTACCATGTCTCCACAGCTATCAAGAAAATGCTATATTAAACACCAATATGCTCTTTTCAGAGGCAGGTAAGTAAATTACACACTTTAAATAATAGTTCACCTACTTTTGTACTACCTGTTTTTTTTTTTGTTTTGTTTTTTTTGACAGATTCTCACTCTGTTGCCTGGGCTAGAGTGCCGTGGCGTCAGCCTAGCTCACAGCAACCTCAAACTCCTGGGCTCAAGCGATCCTTCTGCCTCAGCCTCCCGAGTAGCTGGGACTACAGGCATGCGCCACCATGCCTGGCGAATTTTTTCTATATATTTTTAGTTGGACAATTAATTTCTTTCTATTTTTAGTAGAGACGGGGTCTCGCTCTTGCTCAGGCTGGCTTTGAACTCCTGATCTCGAGCAATCCTCCCACCTCAGCCTCCCAGAGTGCTAGGACTACAGGCTTGAGCCACTGCACCCAGCTCTACATGGTGTTTAAATGGGACAGCCTTATTTGGAAAATTCACATAAAGAATTTTGTTCTCCTAATGATGCTGAAAAAATGAAGCTATTATATTAACATTTTATTTTACTTCTGATTACAAAGTAAAAGATAAACTGTAACCTAAATGTATTTTCATACTATTGTGACTATTAAAGTAAGACTGCTTTGTTTCACTGTTTGAAGAAAACTGCTCTTGAGCTAGCCATGGTTGGGATGTCAATATTCAGGAGTAAGTAAATACATGCTGACAGTTTAAAAGGCTGTATTAAAAAAAAAAAAAATCACACACAGACAGAAGTGCCACTGTTCTGCTGGTACATGATTGGACCATAGTTTTTTTTTTGTTTTTTTTTTCTGTATTCACTGTAAACTTATGGATAGAAAACTGAGTTTTAAAAATGGCTTTAATACACGGTTATTTCAACTGCCACTAACTCTCAATGAAAATTAAAGGAACACTTCCAATTGATCACCCAGTCACTCAACCTCCTCTTCTTAAAATGCCAGAGCCATAATTAGCCTGGGGGAGAAAAAACTATTTATGATAGTTCAAGAGAACATAGTTCAATTCTCATCAATCAAGCACAATATCCTGATACATTTTAAGGTAATTTCTTAACTTTTCCTGACTTAAAATGATGATTTTTCTATCTGCCAAATAAGAAACATCCAAAGTATTAGGTCACTAAGTATGAAATATCTGATTTCTGTAAGTGCTAAGTATGACAGTTGATATCTCTGACATTTTCACTTTGACACTTGTTTTATTTTTATTGTGAAGGTACATCCTCATTATTTCAAACCCATGGTTTCTGGCTTGTGATTATCTTTCAATTTCTTTTAGACCAACTTTTGTAAATGTATAGATAAGCAAAAAATCATGTTACTCTTAAATATGAGTTCCATTGTGGAACCAATACTGCACAGACAGTTCAAAGTATCAGTGAAGTGTTTCAGAAGGATGTGGCTAATGAACACATAGTACATGGATGGTTCCAGAAGTTCCATTCTGGTGATTTTAATCTTGAAAATGAGCCACGTGGGCAACCTGGGAACAAGGTGGGTAATGATGAGCCAAAAGCTGTAACAGAAGCAAATCCATCTTAACCTATCCATAAATTAGCATCAGGTTTTCTTTTTCCTATTCCAACAATACTGGACCACTGTAACAAATCAGCTAGGTAAAGAACTGGATAGGTGGGTACCTTATGATTTAAATGACTGTCAGAAAAGAAACAGCAAAGAAAGGTAAGCTTTGAGACAGTCATGACATAAAGGTATACCATTTCTATGCTGTATTGTTATGTATGATGAAAAGTGGATTCTTTCTGACAATTGCAAGCATTTGGCACAATGGTTAGATAAAGATGAAGTGCCGGAACATAGTCCAAAACCAAATATTCATCAAAAAAGGTTAATGGTGTCTGTTTGCTGGTCCAGCACTGGTATTCTCCACTACAGATTCATGAAATCTGGTCAATCGATTACATTGGATGTCTACTGCAACCAACTGGATGAAATGATGAGGATGCTTGGGATTAAGCAGCTGAGATTACACAATAGAGACAGGCCAATCTTCTTGCACATGTTGCAAAACAAACAAACAAAAAAACACTGCTCAAACTACAGAGACTGGCCTTGGAAACACTGTCATTCACCATATTCAGTAGACCTTGCACCAACTGACTACCACTTCTTAAAGGCTTTGGACCACTTTTTGCAAGGAAAAATATTCAATTCTCAACAGGCTATGGAAAACACTTTCGTAATATTATCACTACTTGCTCTCTAGGCTTCTTTGCTGCTGGCATAAACAAGCTACTGTTAGGATGGCAAATCTGTGTCCACTGTTTAGGCTCATACTTTGATTAACTATACTACTTCTTGTTTGAGATATAATAAACTACACTTTTGATTTGAAATTAGACATTTCGTATTTAATGACCTAATATGTTAACCTTTTTCTCAAATATTTGCCAGGAAAAAACTACACATATTCTGTGATCATTCCATTACCCTTGATACTGCAGACTTACTGGATTGCTTCTAGGGCAGAAAGGATTATGTTCTTGCTCTCTCTTTTCGGCCAGCTCCTTTAGATACTCTGCCGTTCTTTCTTTTTGTTTTCTTTTCATCCATACTTGAATCTCTCTTCTCTCCTTCTCAGTTCTTTGTGGATGTCTGCCAGAAGAATGCTTAATTCTGGGAAATTTAATAAGCAAGGCATCATTTGCCTTAAATTTGTTGTGCAGGTAAGAAATATCATGACTAAATACTATTCATTTGGAAAGATTTTGCTCCATCTTGAAAGTCGTATACACTTATGATCTTTAGTCAACTCACTCCAATCTTTCCTTGAAATCCACTGAAAATGGTCTCAAAGTTCACGAACAACTTCTTAATATCATTTGCTTTAAACCTACAGTCCCCAACTCCTAGGCCATGGACTGTCCACGGCCTGTTAGGAACTGGGCTGCACAGCAGGAGATGAGCAGCGGGCAAGCAAGTGAAGCTTTATCTGTATTTACAGCTGCTCCCCATCACTTGCATCACCACATCTGCTCCGCCTTCTGTCAGATCAGCGGGGGCATCGGATTCTCACAGGAGTGAGAACCCTACGGTAAATGGCGCATGCAAGGGACCTGAGTTGCATGCTCCTTATGAGAATCTAATGCCTGATGATCTGAGGTGGAGCTGAGGTGGTGATGCTAGTGCTGGGGAGCAGCTGCAAATACAGATTGTCATTAGCAGAGAGGTTTGACTGCATAATAAATGCAATGCACTTGAATCGTCCCGAAACCATCTCCCCCAAATTCACCCCCGGTCTGTGGAAAAATTGTCTTCCATGAAACCAGTCCCTGGTGTGAAAAAGGTTGAGGACTGCTGCTTTAAACTCTTTCCCCTTTTTCTTTTAACTCTATCTTACCTGGGTCTTTTCCTAATTCTCAAAACACTATGTAGTTTCCTATATTGTCTCCTTTCTTTTCTCCTTACCACTTCGATATTAATGTCTTAAAGGTTCCATTTTAGATTTCTTTATAATTTATTCCCTGAACTATCTCAATAACTTTCAAAACTTATAATACAGAGATGACTTCTACTGCTGCCCTTCTGGATCTAACCCCATCTAGCCCTTACACATGGGGCTATTTCCAGTGAAAGCCCTATTGCTGACTTGGCTCCTATTTCCAGTGAAAGTCCTTTGCTGACTCCCATACTACTCATAGAAAGACTGAACTCAGTGAGTGCCTCTTGTCCCCACCCCCAGACCCCTGCCATATTTCCCATGGTCTGGCCCAACCTGATGACTAAGCATGGCAGGAACACTGCAGCAGGCCCATTCCTGCAAGACAGAGGTGATACACCGGGTGATTTTGGCTCAAGGTCTTACACTGACCTGGCTGAAATAGTCTTAGAAGAATGTACCACACTCTGTCTTCCAACCCTCTTCCTTTCCCTGTCTCTGTCACAGAGGCCTCATACCAATATTGTGGTCTGATGCTTCTCCTCGCTTCTGTTTTTTTCTTTTTCTTATTCCTCTCACAGGTACTTCCACTACCCTCAATAAATTTCTTGTATATCTAATCTCATCTTGGCTTCTTCTTGGAGGATCCAAACTAATGTAAGTGATACTAGGAGTGGTCTGAGAAAACCGGTGGTGCAAGATGGAGATTTGGGGCAGATGCATCACCCGGTGGGTGAAGAAGACACCATCCTACATGGAAGGTGGGTCACAAATACAAACAATGTGGTTTATTCTGAACACCTGCTTTCCTTCTGGAAGTCTGGAATCTTGGTACATGTCAGGCAACACCCCCAAGTAAACCCTGTGCACTGAGTCTCTAATGAGCTTGCCTGGTAGACAGCATTTCATATGTGTTGTCACAATTTGTTGCTGCAGGAATTAAGTGTGTTCTGTGTGATCCCACTGAGAAAGGATTCTTGGGAGCTTCTGCCTGATTTGCCTTGGAATTTACTCCATGTACATTTTTCCTTTGCTGATATTGCTTTGAATCTTTTTGCGGTGCTAAATTCTAGCCATCAATATGACTATATGCCAAGTTCTGTGAGTCCTCCTAGTGAACCACTGAACCTGGGGGTGATCTCAGGGATCACCAGCACAGAATCAGACCCATATCAGCATTGCAGTATGAAGCTGTCCCCACTTTGTATGGCATCTTTCCCCCTTCCCTCCAATTTATTTGCCTTTTCTCTAAATAAATCTCTTGCTTGTCAAAATCCTATGTGCTTCTCAGAGGACTTAAATCTAATGTACCAATGAATACTACCAACAAAACGTTCTCCTGGCACCTTATACCTAAAACTGCATTCTCTATCTTGCTAAAGAAATCATTATCAACTCCGTCATCCAAGTAGAAAAGCTGTCATTCTCACCTCCTGAGAGCCTCACAGCTATTGCGCTATACTCTCCCTTCTAATTCACCTCATCTCTAGACTACTGAAGCAAGACTTCTAACTGGCTCCTATTTTCAGTAAAAGTCCTTTGCTGACTCCCATACTCCTCATAGAAAGACTGAGCTCAATGAGTGCCTCTTGTCCCCGCCCATTTTGTCGTACTTTCCCCTTCTAATGCACAAACTCTAGCCATATCTAATTCCTTGTTTGTGACTGCCATTCACATCTTCGTGTATTATCTTCTCTCTGCCTAGAACACCTTTTCTCCCAATTATCCAATTATCAGCCACATGAATTCTACTGATCCTTTTAGATATGGTTCAAATCCAGAACTAGTGTAGCTGCCTTCTTTAGCTGACTCTCTTCCTCTGAGCTCCCACAGCACTGATATAACTTGGTCTTACAGTCTATCTCCAAGAGCAGAAACCATATTTAATTTTTATTCTAATTCTTGACATTTAATAGACTATTGTTGATAACATGATAATTAACTTAAAAAACAACTGAAGGTAACTAAATGTGTTTAGCTTAGGAAGTTAGAGTTTACATGGTCTTGATACAAGGTCATATATAATATAGCAGATAAATTCCACTAATTAAACAGAAATAGTATTTTTAATTTTTTTTGGCACACTATTTCCTGCCAACAGTTTTGTAAGTTTAAGTATACACTGCATTTTCACTGAGGTAGTAAGTGGAAGTGAACTAGGAAATAAAGAAGTACAGCTGCTATTTGTAAGGCGGACTATGTTATATAAACAAACCAAGAGTATATGTATCATGAGGAAGCATCAGTAGAAGAGTCAGCCTTCATTCTATCAGGGACCAGTTCCTGACACAGGAAGATTGTAAAGAAACATTTTAACCTAATGCTCCAAGGAAATGCTATTTAAATGTATTCTAAGGGTTAATATTTAGGGTAAAGTGCCAGGAACTACATCATTAATTAATTCTAATAAGAGATAGGACTAAAGGCATGTTGGATTTAGAGTGAAGACACCTTGGGAAAACTCACAGGATACAGATATATACTATAGTTGTTGGGGAAGAGGGAGAAATGACACATACACATCACAAAATGTATTTAGGCACACAAAAAAAATCTATTTTAAGCTTCCATAAAAATCATTATCAAAATACCGCCAAATTTGAACATTCGTGAACCATAAACATTATAAATGGGATTACCTGGACATATTCCTAGCTTGTTGTTCTGTTAAGCCAAGCTCTTCACTGGAAATTCCATCTTTAGTTATAAGGTCATCAATAATGTCTGCAATATCAGTCAATCCAGTCATCTGGAGTGGATCTTCTGAAACACTTCATTTGTAAATGTAATTTGAGAAGTATAAATCAGTATCTACAACTTACTTAGATTAAGCAAAAATGAACATGTAATAAATGAATACAAAATAATAAACATATATTTGCTGTTCCTTCTATTTCTGTAATCCTAGTAACTCCCAGTGGAAAAACCTAACCACTGATAATTAATGACTTAAGTAGGTTCTCTTAAAAAAGCAAATATAAGGCCCATGAGAAAACCTCAACAGGTCCTGCCTGCTGAAATTTAATACATATTTAGTAAAAGATAATGTAGCAATGATAGCCTATTGTATTTTAATTACCTGTACTAAACAGTAAGGGATATAATAATCTTCAATTTCTTAAAACATCCTATTCCCAGTGGAAACTTACTGTATTCCTTCACACCATGAAATGATGGACAGTGTAAAAGTTCACACACATGTGAACAACAAAATTTCCAGAACACATATTTATACCCAACTTTAAGTGAAACTAAATTTACTCAAGATATTTACCTCTCAAATAATTCATCACTGTTATTCATACCTTTAAATAAAAAAGAAACATTATTATTAATAAAAACTTCAAGTCATTTTTTTTACTTTAAATTATTGACCTGACTTAGAAATTACATAACCAGAAATTAAATACTTTTAAACCTCCAAATTGGTTTAAACATACTCTTGAATATGCTATTTGGTATCAAATATTATCTACATTTTAAGATAATTTCATTTCTAGCCCAAGTATTCTGTATAATATCCTTTAAAAGGTACAACTCTGCTTAGTACACTGTTTAGAGTACTAGAGTACAATTAACTTTATATAAAAACAAACAAAAAACTTCTGGTCATCTAAAAGCAATACATTTTAGAAAATATCTAATTTAAATCCAAGAGCCCATTTACTTGTAAGATCATGACCCAAAGAATGATTTTTAAGCTTTGTTCAGTATTAACTACATGTCTTCAAAGCAAAAAACTTACTTTATTCAATCTTCTATATGTTTAACTTTAAAAATGCTGGTAAAATGCCTGATGTCTTTGAGGATGGCAAAATAATGGTAAAAGAACACTTAAAGTAATGACTTTTTCCAACACTGGTGCTAGCTACTCCTGGAAAAACCCAGGTGAGTGTTCCTAAGCATGGATTTGTCTGCCAGCACTGTTTGCCCTTCTGGGCTGAGTCATCAAACCAGTCTGAAGAGGAGGGTGAAATGTGCAGAATTAATACAGGGAATAAAAGTGAATTAATAATAAAAAGTGAATTAATAAAAATAAAAAGTGAATTAATAAAGGGAAAACTGACAACTCTTCTTGAAAAAAAATTTCTTAAGATTTTATTAGACCCAAGATAAACTAAACCTGTCCCTACAACTTATACATACACATATTTTTAATATGAAATAATTTTGTTTCTTGAAAACATATTGCTCTGCTTATTAACTCCCAAAACAAGGATTTTATCTTTGTCCTCAGAGTCTAGGAATTTATGAGTTCTTAACAGCAATTAATGAAATGTAACTAAGAGTGAAATACTTTACATAAACCTAAGATTATAGCAATAATAATAATAATACTATTACTAGTATTAATAAGAATACTACCTCTTAGAGCTTCTGCTCCGGAGAAAAAAATAACATTATATACTTTCAAAAGAGAAGAATACTTTTTATCAATGTTTGAGTAGCCCCTGTTGGCCATTCCTAAAAAAGGCGTGAAGGGATTCTCTTCCAGTACTGGCTGGGCTGCATAAGGGAAAGTCAGTGAGACTGTCAGAGATGGAGACCTCTCAGGGCAAAGTCTGAAGTGTTAGCTGTTTTGCTGTTGGTGACCCATGGCCACAATACCTACAAAGCTGGGCAAACCTTGTCCAACATATGCAAGTTTAATACTTTTCAAACACTAATGCTAAGGGAGAACATCCTTTTGCAGAACTCCAGAGCACTTTGATAACAAATGCAATTTAACTAAGTCATTTCATGTTTAAAGATAAACCATTTTACATGATAGAATTCAGTGCCTTTGGTCTCTGACAAAGATCTTCCTCAATACAGTTATTGTTAAGAAAGCCTCAACTACTGAAAGAAAAAATAATGGTGAAAGTATACATTCATCATATATAAAAAGTGTGACTACTAAGAAATTAAACTAATTTCTTTTATCAAAGAGCAGAAAAATGTTATATCCAAATGAATACTTTTAAAAAGTAGTTACAGGCGGGGCGTGGTGGCTCACGCCTGTAATCCTAGCACTATGGGAGGCCGAGGCGGGGCGGATTGCTCAAGGTCAAGAGTTCCAAACCAGCCTGAGCAAGAGGGAGGCCCTGTCTCTACTATAAATAGAAAGAAATTAATTGGCCAACTAATATATACAGAAAAAATTAGCCAGGCATGGTGGCGCATGCCTGCAGTCCCAGCTACTTGGGAGGCTGAGGCAGGAGGATCGCTTGAGCCCAGGAGTTTGAGGTTGCTGTGAGCTAGGCTGACGCCATGGCACTCACTCTAGCCTGGGCAACAAAGTGAGACTCTGTCTCAAAAAAAAAAAAAAAAGTGGTTACAAAGGGACAGTATAGTTTATTTCATTCTCTAACCATTTTTGGAACTCTTCTTTTGGGACTGCTTTCATAGACAATTTATTAAACGCAATGGATCAATTTTATTCCTTGATAACCATAATTTCTTATTTTTAATTCAAACAGTAACATGCACCCTAGTCACATACTTTATTTACCAGAAGTGCCTCTGAATAACTTTTGTATGTTAGCAAACATTCAATCCATCCTCAGTGAATAAATTATTTGCCACTATTAAGAATACTCAGAAGAATGTCCTAAGAAATGGAACTTAATTACTTGCAAAAGAGGAAAATGTAAGCTATTTTTGATCATTAAAGCAAAGGAATGACAACATATCTTTCCAAGATGCCATTTTGGAGAAAATACCCATTAGGGCATCTAAATTCTATATGTTGTTAAAGTATAGTAATATAGATTTTTCCAAATTTATTATCATACATTCAATACTAAAGCATTTGAATTTCTCCATCTTTATATGTATTATGCCATTTATTGACCTTTCTGCTTCTCTTTTCTTCCATCCTAACTTAAGAAACTATTATAATCCTGTATGAATCATCTCCTTAACCCAGTACCTTCAATTTCTTTTCCCACTATCTTTTCTTCTGCCTTTAACATTAAATAATTTTTATTTATCCCTAACTTGAAATAATCTTTGACTTTACTTTCCTTATATTACCTCATTGTTCAACTTCCTTTTACTTTCAGAATGCTTGATTATGTAGTCTATACCTACAGCTTCTTGAGCCTGTCTGTCCCCAACCTGCCTTCTCTACTCGTGATATTACACTGAAAGTCCTTAAAACTCAAAGCCTTTATTCTTGACTTTCTGATGGCTCATGAAACTGTTAGGTACTTATGTTTTTTTGAAAAATCTCTTTACCAGACTCTGCTCACCCATTTCACTCACTAGGGGGGCTTCCCTTGCTCACAAATGAATAACATTTCACAGGTTGGTCCTTAGTATTTCCCCCTTTCCCTCTTTCTAGCAAAGAACAGATGCACTCTTGCAGTCTTAACTACATAATTGGAGGAGAAGCTCTTTCATCTGGTTTTTCAAACCTAACTCTCCTCCATGCTCCGCTTCCTTGTCTGAAACTATATACTAAACATGGCCATTTATCTATCATAAACTGTTACATTTTATGATCACCATAAACTGTTACATTTGGCCTCAAAATGCTCTAGAGTTTGACCTCAGACCTAGTTATATCCTCTTTTTAAAAAAAGCAAAAATAAAAGTATTTTTTTTAGAGACAGAGTCTTGGCTCTGTTGCCCTAGGCTGGAGTGCAGGGGCACAGTCATAGCTTACTGAGGCTTCAAACTCCTGAGGGCTCAAGCAATCCTCCCACTTTGGCCTCCTAGAGTGCTGGGACTATAGGCATGAGCCACGTGCCAGGCCCCTAGTTATATCCTTGCTCCTATACTCTGGAAACACTAAACGACCATTCATTTTCTCACTCTTCTCTTTAATCTATGTATTCACTTAGTACCATTGGTTACTTATTCAGAATGTTTCTTTCTTCTTTTCCTTTTCTACAATACTACTCAGACACTGGTTATTTCACAGGTCAGATTAATTCAGTAGCTTACTAACTAGCCTATACCTCCATTCTAGTCTTCCTCAAAACCTCCTCATTGTATATCTCTGCTCAGAATTCTCTAATGATTCCCAAGTATGAAATAGAGTCTAAACTTTTCAGATGCAATTGGAACCATCTACAACATAGACTCCTAAGTCCTGTTTAACTTCATTTGTCAATCCTCCCCCAGAGGAGGAACGAGGAAAGCTACCAGTGACCAAGAAGCTACAGGAATCAAACATCCTCAGCTAGATGCTTTATAAATGATACTCAACCTTCACAACATTGTTAAATGAAAATGATTATCCCCATATGTTGATGACTAAAATATGGAATCTAAAATGAACTAGAGAAAATAACTTAAAGATTTAAAGTCAGCTTCTTAAAGCTTTTATTTAAATAACAGCAATGCCATTTTAAAATAGCACTTTTTACTGCTTATATTGCTTTAATAATGGTAATAAAACATACTGTAAATACTCAGTAAAATCATGTGAATGGCATGAGTTTTACCTTTCTTTTTCCCAAAATAAATATTACAAAATGACTTCACAAGCCTTTCATAACTATAGTCCCAGTAAATAATGTTCAGTAACATTATAATGGAAAATTAAGAGTATGTGTAAATGAAGAAAGTGAAGAACAATACCAGGAGTAGTAGCATTCTGGTCACTGGAAAGGCTGACAGCTGAACTGGCAGTACGAAACACATAGGTTTTCTGACTAGAATGATTTTCTGTTACTGAAAATTCAACTTCTGAAGTTTCCTCACTTTGATCTTCCTCATCCATAAGAGTCAAAGAATGTACTAATCAAGAGTATGTAATTAAAAGAAAATAGTAGAGAAAAAAATTACATGGAAATGATATAACAATTTCTAACATTTACATATGGCAACACAGATGTATTACAATTGCAACATATTCTCATAGCTTTTTACTGCACATGAATTAATTTAACATGAAATTTTTTTTAAGATTAAGATTTTTTTAAGATTAAGATTTTTTTAAGATTAAACTCACTCATGATGAAAAAAAAATTACTATCAACTTCATTAAACTATGCCCTGCCATTAACCCAGAAATGCTAAATTACCAAAAAAAGTTTAAAACACAACCAGGCCCTCTAAACAAAATATCCTGATGCCAGAAAAGAAAAAATAACTCAAAGCTGGAGCACTAAGTGGGTAATGATGCTAGAATAGTCTATAGGGGAACAGGAAATGTGGTTTCTGCAGATTGCAGTGAGGGACACTGAGCTACTTTCACATGGCCTAGAACATTAAAGAACAGCTCCGTCCATAAAACGGGAATAAAAAAATCCCTGTCATAGAGAAACAGCAAAGAAGTTTTCTTTCTGCCTGGACAATAGATGAGAGAATAATAAAAGTCAACTTTGAGAACCCCTGGCTTGCCACAAGCAGGTGTAGGGTCTGTATTTATCTGTATCGCTGTACTACCATCTGTGTAGTACAGCGACTGCAAGCCAAGAGATTTATATTAAAACTTGTCTCCCAAATTTTTTTTCTACTTTAATGACAGCAAGAAGCAAAAGCAAAACCACTCCAAATGTATACACCCTAGAAGAACCTCTACTAAAGCCCATGATAAAAAAAATTATAAAATTACACAAAGGAACAACCAAATATGAAGCAGAGTCAGTATGCAGATTCAACAACTGAGAATGTACACACATGAAATAAAATAATCTGAAAGGGTTGGTTATAAGACATTATTAAAATTATTAAATAAAGGAGAGAAACCACAATAAAAAAACAGGACAAGGCATCCAAAGAATAGATTTGAAAAAGAAATAAATAGAACTTTTAGATATTAAAAATATCTAAAAAATTAAAAATTATAATGTCACCCAAATTAAAATAATCATAAATAGGTGAAACAGCAAAGATGATATAGCAGAAGAGAGAATTAGCAAATTAGAAGACAGATCTGAGGAATTTACTCTGAGTACACCAAAGAGAAATAAAGAGGTGGATTATGAAGGAGTGGTTACAAGAGATAGAGAATAGACTGAGAACATAAAACATCCAGCAGAGGTCCAACATACTTCTACTGGATGTTTTAGAAGTACAAAAAGAAAGAATGGGGAGGAAGCAATACTCCAAAAGATTATGGATGAAAAATTCCCAAAGTTAAATCTCCAAACTGAAGAATCATTCCTACTCCAATAGAAGTTAATTGTAAAAAGACACACCTAGACACACTGTATCAAGAAAGCAAAATAAATTAAAAATAGACATTGTTTTAAGCAACCAGAGATAAAAGAACAGCAATTATACTGATAGCACATAGGCAGTGTACACTTCACAGCTGGGCATGTCAGTAGATAATGGAATAATATCTTTAAAATGCTGAGGGAAAATAATAATCATCCTAAAAGTCTGTACTTCACTATAAGCTATCAGTCAAGAATTATAGTAAAATTTGAAAAACTTACTATAAAGCTATTTTCAAAGACTAGGAGAATTTATCACTCATAAGCTTTAGAGAAAAGAACTAATAAAAGAAGGAAGAAGGAAACTGAATCCTTAAAGGGCCGGGTGTGGTGTGGCTCATGCCTCTAATCCTAGCACATTAGGAGCCTGGGGTGGGAGGACTGCTTGAGGCCAGGATTTCAAGACCAGCTGAACAAGGGTGAGACCCCTTCTCTACAATAATTATAATGATAATCATAATTATTAAAGTTGTTTGTTGGATACATAAAGGTTAATTATATTATTTTATCTTCTATTAAAATGTTAGAAATTTTCCATGACAAAAATTTTAAAAATAAAAAGTATAAAAAATATTTATCAGAACACAGGGGTAGTAAAGTTAATATTAGATAAAATTGACTATAAGTCAAAAGGTATTATTGGGGAAAGAGGGTCATTATTGTTTAATGATGATAAATAATAAATGATAAAATTTAACAAAAATATTACAAACCTGAAATATATTCAGCTTATAGCCTTAAATATGTAAAGTAACATTTAACAGATTTACAAGGAGAAATAAACAATTCCATAATTATTATGGATAATTTTTAATGCACCCTCTGAGAAATGAATAGATCGAGCATGCTAACAATCAGAAAGAACCCAGAAAATCTGGACAGTACAATTTAGAAGCTTGACTGAATGGAGATATATACATACATACATATGAAAAAATATATACATACCCTACATACAACCAACAGGAAATGTTTATTTTCTTCAAGTAAGTGTAAAACATTTATAAAAACTGACTGTATATACTAGGTCACAAAGGCAATTTTAAAACTATCTAAGAATTGATATCATGATTCACATTATCTGATCATAGTACAATGAAATGGAAATCAATTAGAAAAACATAGTCCAAACCTCTTAGTATTTAGAGGGTATAAATCTTTTTTCCATGAGCTAAAAAAAATTGTAATACAAATAACAAACTAAGTAGATCTGACCACCACCAAGTGATGATAAACAGCAACACTTTGTCTAGGACTGTGTGGGAACATGCTAAGCCTCCACTGCATGTATTAGAAAATAAGAAAGAATGAAGGTAGGAAAAAACCAACAAGTTATCCCATCAAAACAGAAGAAATAATAAAGGTAAAATAGAAATTAATGAAAAAGAAAATTAAGAAACAATAAAGAGAATCAACAAATTGAAGTCTGTTTTTTTTTTTTTAAAAGATTGCTGATAAGACTGAATGAGAAAGAGAACATCTAATAGAAAGTAAGAACATAACTACTTTAATTTGATTCTTTCAATAAGAAAAGAAAAAACTTACTACCTTATCATTGCCTGGCCATTTAACCAGAACCTCAAATTCCAGCTCAGCTGATGACCACAGACAAATAATAACCTCAGCACAATTTTCTGTATAATCCCTAGCAGTGTGGGACCAATGACATGGAATCCACAGAAGCTAAGATCCAGGCCACATTGCCCCATTCTAGTATAAAAGCCAGAGGAGGTCATCGGCTTTTCAGAATAACCTCACCTTGAAGTGTGAGCCAATCACATTATAAAAATAATCCTAATCTAAAAATTGGGGAACAGATGGCTTCAGCTCACCTATGAAAACTATTCCTAGCTCTGGCACTCCAAAAACCAAAACCAAAAAACAAAACAAAACAAAAAGCTTATTCTTTTGGTCAACCAAGCAACCCTTCAGTCCCAGTCCCAAAACTCCCCACAAACCTTCTTCAGAAATGCTAATGGTTTTTGAAGCTAATGGTTTTTCAAATTCTGGGCCAGAAGACAATTCAATGTGATCTGTTCCTCCAAACTGTAGAAAAAACACATACAACAAAACAACTGTAATAAACTGATAATTTCAAAATATTTTAAACAATTTTATATAAGTTTTAAACATTTGCATTAATGCAACATAAATGAAAGAAATGGGATTAAATTCAATATGAGCTAAATGGTAGGGATTGATAAAGAAGAGGAAATTTTTACTTAATTGATTTAACCTTTAATTGTAGCTTAATTGATTTAACCTTTTAAGAGGCTCAGGAAAATAGCATCATATAAATTTAGAATGGGTAGGAACCTTAACTACTATCTAGACAAAATCTTATATATTAAAGATGAAGGAACAAGGCCCAGAGAGATTCAGTAACTATTTTAGTGGCCTAACATGGATTTCAATCCAGGTTTTCAAGGCTTCTGGTCAGTGCTTGTCCACAGTATCCTTTTGCCTCTTCCAGCCCTACAAGCTGTTTTCTTAGGCAAGTCAAAATGTTTGTATTTATGTGTACATTATAACAGGGTAAGAGTATTTTTAAAAGATAAACCCAACCTATTATTTAAATTAATACTATTTCCTCCAAAGTAGTCATCTGAGAAGACTAGGTCCCCCAGGGGACCCAGGGGATAAGTTCTAAGACCCCCAGTGAATGCCTGAAATCATAGATGGTACTGAACCCTATATCCAGTAGTCCGTCCTTCATTATCTGCAGAAGATTGGTTCCAGGACCAAAATCCATAGATGCTTGACTCCCTTATACACAAAGTATTTGCATGCAACCTATGCACATTTTCTCATATACTTCAAAACACTGCTAGATTACTTATGATACCTAATACAATGTAAATGTATGTAAATAGTTGTTATACTGTGTTGTTTAGGTAATGATAAGGAAAAAAGTGTACATGTTCAGCACAGATGCAACTATTCTTTTTATTTTTTTCCTGAGTATTTTCAATCCACAGTTGGCTGAATCCATGAATGTAAAACCCACAGGTACAAAGGGCTGAGTGGATACTGTTTTTTCCTATGCATGCATACCTACGATAAAGTTTATAAATTAGATGCAGTAAGAGATTAACAATAATAAAATGGAACAATTTCAACAATATAATGTAATAAAAGTTACGTGAATGTGGTCTTTCTCTCAATATATCTTATAAATATCACCAGGTGTGGTGGCTTACACCTTTAATCCCGGCACTTTGGGAGGCCAATGCAGGAGGATTGCTTGAGCCCAGGAGTTCAAGACTAGCCTAGGCAACAAAGCAAGACCCCCACTCTCCAAAAAAAAAAAAAATTAGCCAAATGTGGTGGCACACACTATATAGTCCTAGCTACTTAGAAAGCTGAGGTGAGAGAATTGCTTGAGTCCAGGAGTTCAAGGCTGTAGTGAACTATGATAATGCCACTGCACTCCAGCCAGGCTGACAGAGTGAAATCTTTTCTCTTTTAAAAAACAAGAATAAACAAAAAACCCTTATTGTACTGTACAGAGGGTGACTGAAACCTAGAAGAACAAAACTTTGGACAAGAGGGAACTACTGTACTTATGGACTCTGAGCAAATGTTTTTAGAATTCTTCCATTGAAACTGTCCCTCAAGTTTGTGCCATAATTATTAATTAACCATTCTAGTGCTAAATCTTTAGTATATAAATGTGATTTTATCACTGTCAGAATCCAAAAATAAGAGAGCAAATACAACTGTTAAACAAACATTTACCAAATGCCTGCCACATGCTGTAAAAGACACAGTCCTTACCTTCCCATCTTAAAAGGCCTTGGCTGAGAGGGAAACTCTATTAGAATTTTGGAGAACTTTTCAAAATGCCAAGCCACCTCTGCCTCCCCCACAGATTTAGTAGAGCTAGCATGTATATTCTGAAAAAGCATCCTGGGTGACTGTGAAATGCATAGCTTTCTAATTGTCCAACAGACCCAGATCTGTGGAAATTCCTTCTTGAAACTTTTCCTTTGGCTAGCTTTCTCTTGAGTCTCTTACTAGCTCAGATTGATTGTCCTCAAGCCTTGTTGAATCCTCATCCTTAAAAGGCAGTCTGCCTGCAGGATTCTCTCCTTTACCCTCTTCTTTTCTCACTGTGTGCTCTCTCTGGGTGAGTACCTCTGCCATTATGATTTGAGTTCCTCTCAACAGATGACTACAAGATCTGTAACTTCAGCCCACACCTAGCTCCTCAGTTCCAGAAGCAGATATCCAACTGCCCACCAATCCCAAAGTACCTCAAATTTAACATGTCCTTGATAGAAATCATTGTGCCTCCCTCCCCCAACACAGTTACTTTCACGTATACACATACAGACACACTTCCTCTTCCTTAGTTTGGAAAACAGCTCCACCACTCTCCCAGGCTAGAATCTGGACACCACCATGAATCTTTGTTGTCTTGTTCAACTTCCCACAGCCTGTCAATCTCTATGTCTTGTTATAGGAATGTCTTCCCTCCATTCCTACTGCTAAAGTTTAGGCATGTGATTATTTCCTGCCTTAGGTATACAGTGGATCCCAAAAACCTATCAGTGGACCTCATATAGAGCTAGCAGTATAAGAATCATTTATGAAGCGTGCTAATAATACAGATTACTGGGCTCTACTCCAGAACCACTTAAAATCAGAATTTCAGTGAAATGGGTGTAGGAGTTTTCATATCCAACAAGCTTCCAAGATGGTTCTAATGAGCAGCCAGGTTTGGAGATCCATGTGCTCTTCCTGTTCCCAGTCTTATCCTTTCCCATGTACCTCTACAATGTGCCAGCATGTTTGATCATATTCCTTCACTACTTTTATTATTTAATGGTTTCCTACCAGCTGCTGGTAGGATAAAATCCCAATAGTTTCACATAAGCAAACAACACTTTCCATCCTTCCTTATCTGCCTCCTACCTACCTTGACTGCCAGATGTCTTACAGCCCAGTCCCTCCAACCTCTACCTCCAGGTAATGCTGACACAGTTCCCCAAACACTCTATGCCATTTGGCACCTTTTTGCTCACAATGTTCTGTCAACCCTTTGTTAACTAACTGATGAATACCAATTCACTATGAGCTCAAGAGTCACCTCTATACAGACTCTCTGATGCCACAACTTCACTTAACCCAATCCAGTAACAGGCCAGAGGTGCCTATGTGTCCTTACCGCACCTGGTACATATGTATTTATTGGTGTATATGTGTAACTTCTTTTATTAGATTCTAAGCTCCTTGAGAGTAGGTACTATGCCTTATTTATCTTTCTATTTCCAGAACTTAGCACAGGGCCTAATATGCAGTAGATGCTCAGTAAATATTTGCTGTAGGAATGAATGATTCATGGACTCTTGTGAGAGTGAGCAAGCAGGATCAAGATGACATTTAGGTATAAGTAACTATCTTACTTAGACATGCTTATTAAACTAGCTCAAGAGGCAATTTCAAGAGGTTCTTTGAAGTAAGAGTTCCAAAAACTACTGATCATTCATTTGAATGTGATGGATCTAAGTTTAGGTTAAAAAACAAAAGCAAAACCAGCAAATAAACCCAATAATATCATTACTTAATAGTAGTCCTATCTTGAATTTTCTCAGTATAGTATCACTTATGCTTAATCTTAACTTTTTAATATGTGTTAACTGTTTGGATTAAAGATATACTATAAACTTAATAAATACATTTTTTTAAATGTCAACATGCTAGCATCCTAGAATATTTGTCAGGTAAGTTACTAATGGAATTCTTATCCTGTAGACTAATTTGCATTTCCTATTATTGAACTTTAACATATTTAACATATTTTTACTATTTTTCTTTAATCTTTATAATATAAACTTTTCTTCTTTAACAAAAGGACAAAATGTTTATTTAAAATAATTAATTTTGGAGACTCCCCTACTATTGTATCTACCACCATTATATAAATACATGAATTTATTTATTATGAATACTTTTTAAAGATACAGAAAATTTGCAAGGAACTGATTACTAGTCCTCTTATATAAAATACTAAAAAGAAACTGACAATTCCAAATATAAGGACAACAATATGTGTAAAGTCATACAAATCTTTCCAAAGAAAATGACACTCAATTACAAGCAGGGTTTCTTCAAAACCACATTCTAGTTTTGCAATTCATTCATTTCCTCTCCTGGTAGAAAGCATGAGTTTACTTCTTAAAAGCTTAAGACAGTGGTTCTCAACTAGGGGTGATTTTGGCTCCCAGGGGACATATGGCAATATGTGAAGACATTTTTGATCGTTACAGCTGTGGGGAGTGCTACTGGAAGTTAGTGGGTAAAGAGCAGGAATGCTGCCAAACATCCCACAATGCATGGGACTGCCCTCACAACAAAGAATCATTCAGCCCAAATGTCAACACTGCTAAGGTTGAGAAATTCTAGTTTAAAGAAACCAAATTTCCCATTACTTTGAAAAATCAAGTGTCCAAATTTATATCACAATACAAATCTAATAACTCACCAACAAAAAGCCAAAAATAAAGAGCATCTACCTTATCACAACGCAGATGTAGCATTTCAGGCCTGGGGAAATCCTGCTCTATATTTTCAGCAATGTCCTGTATTGCTGACAGCTGTTCATCAATTTTCTGAAGCTTAGAGGTGAGATGCTCTAGTCGGCGAGCTGCAGGGCTTGGTGCAGGGCAAGCGGCAGAGACATCCTGCAGCAGTTTCCACAACGGGTAATCTTCTGCAGAGTCTGACCTTGCTCTCTCTTCTTTGAATTGGAACTCTGGTTTTGGCAGATCTAAATATTAACAAAAGTAAAATCAGAATAGATTATAATTAAGGAAAAGGTATATACTGATGATCTCATTTTTTGGGAACTTCATTTTAAGCCAGCATAACATTACTTCCAAATCAGTTTTAATTTAATATACTTAAAAATTCCTTTCAGCTTCTTGACTTATGAGATTTGTCTCTGTTGTGAGGTAAGAATTCATAAACAATATTACTATCACAAAGTTCCACATACAAGGTAGTTTGAATCTTACTTTTATCCCCAGTTACAAATACTTCATCAAAAAGTAACATTAATATTTTTATGACTTTTTGAAAACCTACTTGAAAACCAGTATCATATAGTGAAATCTAGGCCCAATACTGGCGATTACTGACTTTATGTAGCATCTCAGGCAAACATTAAACCTCCCAAGACCAATATCTAAGCCAATGATTCTTCCTACTCTTAAACTCAGTTGATTCTTGTCCCAAATTTGAGATGCCTTCTATTTTAAATGTACTCTCCATCTGGTGCCTGGGTCTCCTCCTCCCCATGTTGCTCATCCTTCTTAGTTTTCTCTTCTGCTACTCACTCCTTTTACCCATCAGTATTTCTTGGGTTGCCAGCCTCAAGCCCCTCCTCTACTCTTCCCACTCTCTCTGAGTGACATCACCAACCCACAGATGACTCCTAAATCCACAGAGCACTCTTTCTGAGCTTTAGCTCCTTATGTCCTGGACATCCCAGTTAGCTTGTCCCAGTTAGTTAGCATATGAAACTAAACTCATCACTGTTGCCTCCTCTGTAACTTGCTTCCTCCTCCTTGTTCCTAAGCCAGTGAACAGCACTCCCATTCACTCAGTTTCCCAAAACAGAGGCCTCAAAGTCATTCAAGGTTCCTCTCTTTCCTTCAGATCCAAAATGACAACACTTGGATGGAAGTGATAAACACTTCCATTCCTAATATCACTGCTTAGCTTAGGCTTTCACAATAGACAGATCCCAAATAGTATCCCTAATTTCTCTCTCTCTTACCTAGTTCATCTTCCATACAGGCCCAGAGAGATCTTTTAAAAACGCAAATTTGATATTGTTTCTTTTTTTCCCCCAAACCCTTAAGGGTGTTTCCAATGCCATCACCTTAAAAGTAATGCCTCAGTTTGACAATGGCACACATAACCTTTCCTTTGCCTACTTCTCTGGCTTCATTTCTTGCTATTTCTTTATATAAACAAAAAAAACCCACTCTATTTGATTTCAAACATACTAAACTTTAATTTTCTCAAACTAAGCAGGTTCCATCAAACTCTCAGTCACTGAACAATCTATTATCTCACTTTGAATTCCCTTTCTCTTGCTAAATCCTGCTTTCCTATACAATTTCATTTAGGTGTCTCTCCCCTAAATGGCCTCAATCCTCCCCTAAAATGGGTTAGATTAGATGCTGTATCACCCAAGAATCTCATCCACATAACCACTGCAGAGCTTACCAAGCTGTGTCATAATCTTCTCTTCATATGTCTGTCTTCCTTTCCTCTACAGGCATGCCTGGAGGCTGAGCACCTGGTGTTCCTTTCCTCCTAGTACCAGTATCTGCTCCTTAACTTGGTGCTTATTGGATAAAGAATCAGTCAAATGAAGATTATGATGCCTACCCTACCTAACTCATACAAATTTTGTGAGGATAAAATTATGCAACAAGGCCGGGTGCGGTGACTCATGCCTATAGTCCTAGCACTCTGGGAGGCTGAGGCAGGCGGATTGCTCGAGGTCAGGAGTTTGAAACCAGCTTGAGCAAGAGCGAGACCCCGTCTCTACTAAAAATAAAAAGAAATTAATTGGCCAACTAATAAATATAGAAAAAATTAGCCAGGCATGGTGGTGCATGCCTGTAGTGCCAGCTACTCGGGAGGCTGAGGCAGGAGGATTGCTTGAGCCCAGGAGTTTGAGGTTGCTGTGAGCTAGGCTGATGCCACGGCAAACACTCTAGCCTGAGCAACAAAGTGAGACTCTGTCTCAAAAAAATAAAAAATTATGCAACAAAGTACTCTAAAAACTGTGAATTACTAAACAAACGGAAATAGTGCTTGTTATATTTCAGTCCCAGTTGAAGGTGAACCTTACCAGGAGAAGACAACAGTAAATGCCAATGCTGGCAACAGCAGTTATACAGTCTTTCCCGACCTGTTTTGGCCCTATCTGATTTAGCCTGGTTCTCTCAGTACTTTACCACCTATATATTCTTCCCGTTTCTCAACAGCATAAAGCATCTCCCTTAATACTCTCAGGAAAGAATCTGGTGCACACAAACTTCAAGTAGAAAATATAACAAAAGAGATGGACATATTAAAAAATCTAGAATGGCCTCAATACATGATGAAACTAGCTTCCTTTTCTCTGCAGAACCTGCTGCACTTCCACTAATAGAGAAAATCACCCACCCAGAAGGTGGATGGGCCACTGACTGCCACTGACCCTGCTATGGTCTTCCTGGGCCCAACAAAACTCTGCTTGCTGTTACTGGTGCTATTCATAATGGGAGATGGTTTCCAAAGAAAGAAGCCACTGTCATTCAAAATACTGAGCAGGTCTCATTAAAACAGGAATTCATTGTTTTATTTTTCGTTTTAAATAATGACCCTGTTTTAAATGTTTTTGTTTTAAAACAAAATAATGTTTTTGTAAAATAATGTTTTTATTTTAAATAATGACCTTGTGACCCTGTTCCCTTCCTTCTCCCAGCCTTTTCCTATAATGCAAATCCTACTCAATACTAATGTGTGTGACTAAATTCTGAGTCTTTAAGGTATATTATGTAAATGTCATGACAGAATTTAATTTCAAAACATAAAACTTCTTTTAAAGTTCTTGTCTTTAGTAAGTGTACAAGGGTCCACTGACATATCTGTGCAACCAGGCACTTTCCCCAAGGAAGGATCCTCCAAAAGGTTAATTATAGACCTCATCTCACTGATAAAGGAAATTAACCTGTGGCTTATGGTCATTTTAAATGCTGGCCTAAGATAATCAGGGGTCACAGGGAGATGGGTCTGTTTCTAGTCTCCCAGAACTTCAAAAGTTGACTGGTATTAACATGAAGGGAAAATAACAGGACACCTAAGCAGCCACAGGCATTTGGCTAGATGTACTTCATGACAACCCATGAGACCAAGTCCCACAGAGATACAGGTGAGGATCAGATAAAGTTAATTTATTTGCAAACGAGCTATTAAGTGAGACAGCTGGTATTGAAATCAGGTCCGGCCGGGGGTGGCTCACGCCTATAATCCTAGCACTCTGGGAGGCCGAGGCGGGCGGATTGCTCAAGGTCAGGAGTTCCAGACCAGCCTGAGCAAGAGCGAGACCCCGTCTCTACTATAAATAGAAAGAAATTAATTGGCCAACTAATATATACAGAAAAAAATTATCTGGGCATGGTAGTCTACATGCCTGTAGTCCCAGCTACTCAGGAGGCTGAGGCAGAAGGATTGCTTGAGCCCAGGAGTTTGAGGTTGCTGTGAGCTAGGCTGATGCCACGACACTCACTCTAGCTTGGGCAACAAAGTGAGACTCTGTCTCAAAAAAAAAAAAAAAAAGAAATCGGGTCCATTCTATTTGAATCTAAAAGTCATGCTCTTTTTACATTCCCCACAGACATCTCCAGCCTAAAAGACTGCTAGCTTCATACACTGTCCCTCCACTACCTACGTACCTTAGCAGCCCCATAATAGGAGAGACAGCACAAAGGCTTCAAAATCTGAAATGCTGGCACTTGTTCCTATATGCAGCTGTAATACACATGCCCTAAGGTGAAGTTTCTCTACCACTCATCCCTTCTTTGCTCCTCTTATCTCCCGAGTGCCCACCGTTGATACACAATAATCAGGTAGAGGTAGATCCTGCATGCAAGCATCTCACAACCACAAAGCTGGCTGGGTCCATGCCTCCTAACAGCTGTGGAACCCAGAAGAGAAATTAGGTCTCTGTTGCAGGAAGTTTGATTACATACTGGTTTAATTTAACCATTCACAGGATGTAATAACTTCAGGTTGGGGAGAAATAGTCTAAATCTTGCAAAAAGTTACAATACAACCTGATTTTTTTTTATGACTATAAAACTGAATATTTTACTAGTCAAGTATGGTTGGCTATCATGCCTAGGTATTTTCTATGTGCTATTATGAAATTTCCCATCTTTTTAAACATAAGAATTCCTTTTTAACATCAAAATGCTCATGAACAGGATATTTATTTTTAGCCTCATTAATTGAGAAAAGACATATGGACAAATAGTCTCCTTGCAAAATATTCATGGGTCCCAGCTTTGGAATCATGGCTCAACCTCATTTACCTACCTGACCCGATTCTCCTTAGCAAGGGACAAGCCTTTTTGTGGTTTATTTTGCAATTGCCATGTTTTGTTTGTTTGTTTGAGACAAGGTCTCGCTCTAGTTAGAGTATAGTGGTGTCATCTTAGCTCAGTGCAGTCTCAAACTCCTGGCTCAAGTGATTCTCCTGCCTTAGCCTCCTGAGTAGCTGGGCCTCCAGGTACATACCACTATGCTGGCTAATTTTTCTATTTTATAGAGACAGGATCTCAATATTGCCCAGGCTGGTCTCAAACTTCTGGCCTCATGCAATCCTCCCACTTCGGCCTCCCAGAGCACTAGAATTATAGGCGTGAGCCACCATGCCCAGCCAAATTACCATGTTTTAGTGCTTGTTTCTAATATACCAGTAATTCAGGAGAAGGTCATCTTGGCCATTCACCTTTGTCCTGCTGTATGTCTGATGGTGTTGGTGAGGTGACACCAGGCTCCTTCACATCTGCAATGCTAGCTCTCCAGCTTTTTCCATCCAGACAGGCTGGAATCAGATTTTTTGCAGGTTTAGAAAATAAATCCATAGCAGAATTGACAGATTCTATCAATAATATGAAAGGCATACAAAGATTGATTCTAAACATCTAAACAAAATAATTAGAAGATTATTAGAACATTTCTAAATGTGGATATAAACATCCAAAAGTACAGTGGGTTTGTAGGAGGAGGGCTAAGAGATGTGGGAAGGGACAATGAATGAGATATTTAAAGAATTTTTCAAAATGTGTCCATTTTAAAAGTAGGAAAAAATTACCTTGACTCTTAAAATTGTGTGGAGGAAAAGCATTAGTAACTGAAGCTGCCACATAATGTAACTCTGCAGACAATGGAACCTCTGGATGATCACTTTGCTGCTTGATCACATTGTCATTTGAAGGCTCTTCTCTGCCAGGTAATTCCTGTAGATCATCAGCTTCAATGTCAATCACATTTATATAAGTATGTCCAACCTGAGCCAAAACATACAAAATCAAAAAAGGATACATTCTTTGTACTCCATGGGGTCACACTGCCAAAAAAAAAAAGTTCAGTGTTTTATTTTTATTAATAACAAGGCAAGAAGAGCTCGTATGTGTCTAACTTAGAGAAGGCTGCAGGAAGTATATGTTATCAGTCTTAGCTTACAATATTCAGGGGCATAATACTTGAATTAATTTTTTGATCTTTCCTACAAAGCTACATAAATCAGATTTTTAGCCTCATTTCACTTATACAATTGAATAATGTCTGAGAGGCCATAATACATTTTAGCACAAAGGTATTGTTAAAACTTCTGAATAAAACACAAACCAAATTTGTTACTGTAAGAGGTGTTGAAGGTGACAAAGTTTTCTCTGATATTTCAGTGGAAAGCTTGAGATTTAGATATACATCTGGATCCAATAGCTGAGGAACATTCAAAGGTTCATGTTCTGAAAATTAAGGAAGGAAAAATCAGGAACATAAAAATATCTGTAAATAGCCGGGCGCGGTGGCTCACGCCTATAATCCTAGCACTCTGGGAGGCCGAGGCGGGCGGATTGCTCGAGGTCAGGAGTTCGAAACCAGCCTGAGCAAGGGGAGATTGTCACAGTAAGGTAAGCAGACAGTTTAACTATGTACCTTTAGTCCTAGGACTCTATTCTTATTTTCTAATATTTTATTTTATAAAGCATTATTCCAAATTTCATATGTAAAATATAACTCACTGTCATACTGAGTACTGAAAGGTTGCTACCAAGTCCTGAATTAAACTATAGGTTAATCAAAAAACTAGAAAAAGAAAAATGAATACTTAAAATCATTGTTCTATCTCTATTGATCAAATGATTGTTTTAACTGCTTTTCTATGGGAGGATGGTGACTCCCGTTTGGCATCATGCAGATATCATCTTTAATAAGTCATACTGTTTTCAGGCAAAAAAGAAAGAAATCACACCTGCTGTGCAAGAAATGATTTGTTGATTTTTCCCACTTTCAGAAACAACTTCTTGAGAAGTAGCTTCCTTATCTTGTACTACATTAGGAAATTTAAGGCAAAAAAGAAAATAGAAAACAAATTTCACAACACAGGAAATATTAAAATAAATTAAAATTAAATATATGAATGCAGATAATTAGATGTTGTGTATACAGTGTGGTAGGTAGAAAGCAGATTGACAGCTTACAATTTCATTTTCAAATAATTAATATAATTTCAGATTGTATTATTATATCTTGGGTCTTCACTAGATGAATAAGAGACCCCTAGCAAATACTCTGCAACTTTAGAAAACTATCCAGCAGCAAAGGCAAAGCACCTCCAAAGCTTTCTCAAAGACATGCTGAGATTATGAACATTTAAGAATGTTTATCAGATGCACACTCATCATTTACATCACAAATATCTTATAACTGCTCAACCTCAATTAGAAAGAAACATAAGTTAAAATGTCTTTTTTTTGACCTATCACATTGGCAAAGTCAAAAAAGTTAGCTAAATCACAGTAATGACCAAAAAAGGCTCTTATTCAGGAAGATACTCACTGAAGCATTACTTATAGGAGGAAAAAAACTAGAAACCGCCTAATGCAGTCAACAATAAGGAATTGGTTAAAATGTTTTATGGCACAGCTGAAAGAAGGAATCTGCTAACAAAGTACTTTCTGGATGACACAGAGAAATGTTTGACATAAGTAGAAATCAAAGTGAAACAAACAGGATACAAAATATAGATATCCCTCGTTATTTAAATCTAATCCACTCCCACAAATGTGCTGGATACTGAATTTTCAGATTCCAGTAGACTGACTGTATTACATTATTTCAAAAAAAGGTGTCCCAGCCTGTCCAATTTTCCCAAACATCATTAAATAACTTTTAAACACCTAAAAACAATCATCAATGACTACTACATAATACAAACCATTTTAAAATCACTTTTTAATTAACATTCATTTAATTCATTATTTTGCTTGCAATATACAATACTGAATATAGATATTAATACTACAGAAAACAAGTATTAATACTATGAAGCAAAGAACCAAAGAATTAATATGTTAAGGTTACACTATATCTGAGAATGTCCCAAAGCCCTTGAAAAAACACAGGGACCCATGAGGTTGTTAAACTCTCAGGGAAAAGCTAGGGAAGCTAGCAATATCTGTAAGATTTGATTCAGATAGTAAGGAAGGACACAACTGCACTATATAGCATATTTAACCATGCAAAATGTACAAAAGATGACTGAAAGAAAAAATAACAAAAATGTTATCACTAAGTGGTATGATTGTGGTTAATTTTCATCTTTTGCACAGCTTGCTATATTATCAAAAATGGCCTACAATGGTCACATATTTTTAAAATAATGCCAGTAAGTATTATTTTACAATAAGATAAATTAGAGAGGGTTTAAAAAAGTACTTATAAGGTTCTGAACACAGTTACACAAACTGTTTACTATTAATAAACATCATAAAAAAGAATTACTATGATACAACTGGCAGAATACTTTTCAAGATACTGTTCACAGGTGGGTGCAATGGCTCATACCTGTAATCCTAGCACTCTGGGTGGCTGAGGCAGGAGGATTGCTTGAGCTCAGGAATTTGAGACCAGCTTGAGCAAGAGCAAGACACATCTCTATAAAAACTAGAAAATTATAGCTGGGCATAATGGCATGTGCCTGTAGTCCTGGCTACTCAGCAGGCTGAGGCAGAGTATCGTTTGAGCTCAGGAGCTTGAGTTTGTAGTGAGCTATATGATGCCACTGCACTCTAACCAGGGCAACAGAGCAAGACACTGTCTCAAAAAAAACAAAAACAAACAAACAAAAATACAAAAAACTGTTCAAATGCTAAGCTCCATTATGAGGAAGTTGGTCAGGTAACATTTCAAATAGTAGATCCTCCAACACTTATTTCCTCTACTTTTGGACCCAGTTACAAAGCACTCTGGACTAAACTCATCCAGTCCTCTCCTGGTTTAACTTTACCAGACACAGTGCCAGGCCTCTCAACTTTAGGCATGCAATTCCAGTGAAGGTCACCATGGCATAGAGAATCCAAATTCAAAAAATATTTCTACTGATTGGGATGTAGTCCGTGGTAGTTTTGAACAAAAAATCTCTATTATGTTTTACTTAAGTTATCATAAATTCAATTTCTAAAGTATATGCTAGGTTGAGGAGAAAAACCTGGGTGAGTAACAAATATCACATAATTTAAAATTCCCTTTAAATCACTTTTTCTCCCTTAGAGAAAAAGTCTAGATATCTTAAATATGTCAAAATATATGAATGTTTTAAAAAAGAAAAACAGCATTTTACCTGGGTCTGTATTTGTACTCGCATCCTGACTTCCTATAGCTTTCTTTTTTATAGAGGCCATGAAATGCAATCCAGCTGAAGTATTAAGGTCATCTTGTAGCATTTCTTAAATATAATGAAACATTGAAGTGATCATTGAGAAGCAAACATACTGTTGGGATCCAAGAAACATAGTACCTAACTCAGGGGAGGTGAAATATGGGGTGTTAGGTTGTTACCAAGATGGACTTTCTTCTGCGTAGGGGGGCATGTAAGTTGAATCTCAAAGACATGGTAGAATCAAAACAAAATTGTGGAGGGCTCTGTATGCCCAGCCTATAAATCTAGATATTTATTCTGGCTAATGAAGATCCAACAGAAGCTGGTAAGTGGAGAAATGATATGGTCAGACTGATGCTCTAGAGAAACCACCCAGCCAGGGTGTGGAAAATAGATTTGAATAGACAAAACTAAAGCAAGGCAATCAGATGGGGCTACTGCAGCAGTTTAAATAAGTACCTAGCAATGGTGAAGGAAGGAGAAAGAGGATAAATTAATAATTACAAAGGTAAAATAGCATGAACTGGTTATTGACTAGATGAGAGGAACAGAGGAAGGAGGAATTCAGAATAACACAATGGAATAGAGAACATAGAGATAGAACAATCAGTTGGGCAGGGTAGAGATAATTAATTCAGACTTCATATGCTGTACTTGAGGTAATTTCTACCCAAGTGGAAAGGCAGAAAGTAGAATCAAAACCCAAAGTCTATTATGGAGTTTGGTTTAGATGTGATTTTCCTGGAAATCTGCCAGAGAAGACTAGGTTGAATAAGGCAGTATCAATGAAGGCATATTGTGGGTATAATTAACAATACACATATATGGTCTTTGTCTTCATTTCCAGCCCAGAGTTCCTTAGACACCTGGAATTCCTGAGAGACAGAAGTGTCTTTTGTTATTCATAATGACTCCCTTTCGAGCATACTGTAGTTTATGCTAATGAGGTGACTCTTGTCAGCCCCTAGATAGCTTCAAGATGGGACCTGGTCACCAGAGGAACCAACCACATGCTTAGAGGATTACAACTATAAGCCCCACTCACCCACACTACTCCCACCTCTGGGAAAGGGAGAGGGCTGAAGAATTGAGTCATCACAATGGGCGATGATTTAATCAGTCATACCTATATACTGAAATTTCAATAAAATTCTGAAAAAAAGGCCAGGTGCAGTGGCCCATGCCTGTAATCCTAGCACTCTGGGATGCTGAGGTGGGTGGATTGCTCAAGGTGAGAGTTTGAAACCAGCCTGAGCAATAACGAGTCTCCATATCTATAAAAATAGAAAGAAATTAGCCAAACAACTAAAAATAGAAAAAGAAATTAGCCAGACATGCTGGCAGTGCCTGTAGTCTTAGCTATTTGGGAGGATGAGACAGGAAGATCACGTGAGCCCAGGAGTTTGAGGTTGCTGTGAGCTAGGCTGATGCCACAGCATTCTAGCCTGGCAACAGAGCGAGACACTGCTTCCAAAAAAAAAAAATTCTGAAAAAAAAAAACAGGCTGAGGGGATTCCGGGTTAGTGACTACCTGGATGTGCTAGGAGATTGACCTGCCCAGAGAGGGCAGGAAGCTCTGTGCTGCCTCTCCCTCCTCTACCATCTTGCCTATGCATCTCTTCCATTGTTGTTCCTGAGTTGTATCCTTTATAATAAAACTGTAATGGGAAGTAAAGCATTTTCCCAAGTCTGAGTTTACTAGTCAATTATTGAACCCGAGTTGGGAGTGCAGATCAAAGGAATCCCCAAATCTGTAGTCAGCTGGCAGAAATGCAAGTGGCCTGGGATCCTGTTTGGAGCTGGCACCTACGTGGAGCAGTCTTGCAGGACTAAACCCTTAACCTGTGGGATCTATGCTAATTTTAGGTAATTAGTGTCAGAATTAAACTAAATTGTAGAATATCCAGTTGGTGCTGGGAGAATTGTTGTTAGGGATGGTACAACACACATCCACTGGAATACCATGCTGTCACTAAAAATAACATCACAGAAGAATATCTATGATATGGGAACATTGTAGTCTTAGTATGTAAAAACAAGTTATAAAAAATGCAGGAGGAATTTCTTCATTTGATGACTATCTCTACTTATATATATCTGCAAATATATACAGATATATAAGTGTAGGAATGTTCATAAAATAAAGCTCTGAAAGAAAATTAAGACTGGTTATTCTAGATAGATGATGGTAAATTTTAATATTCTTCTTGTTCCCTATTTGTATTTACTAAATTTTCACCAATAAGCATATATTACCATAACAAAGTGAAAAAACATCTTATTAGAGTGAAAAAGATAAAGTCATTTTAAGACAAGTGGGCAGGAAAGAAATGCCAGATGGATTAGGAAACAGAGAGACTGAAGGCTAAAGCAAGTGAGTTAGAAATGATTACTTGGTTTAGGGGAGCAAAGGCCTGATGACAGGGCAGTAGCACAGACATAGGAACAGACGACCAGGGCAAGGACTAAGTGAATGCAGGAGAAGGAGATCAGAAAATCAAGGGTGCCTTTCAGCAAAAATAAATAAAAGGGATATCACTAACAAGAAGATATCAATTTAAAATTTGGGCATGTTGAATTTAAGGTGACAGTAGTAAAGAAAGATGAGAGAGACTATATGTATATTTGAGTAAATCAAAAATGTAGGGTTGAATCATTAGAATGAATGGTCTTCTAAGCACAAGAGTAAGTGAATGAGACAGAGACAGAGAGAGTGTGTGTATGAACTGCTTAGGAGAAAAATTTAGGGAATACATACTTCAAGGGCAAAGAAATAAACTGACCAGTTTATTGAAATAATTTACTATCTGTAACTGAGTTCTCTGTTTGAACTGACGCCTCTATTTTTAATGTGCATACATTTTCTATGATGAATTTAATCCTAGGCATGTTCTTCCATCATTTTCTTTTAGACCTTATATGCCTTATTTTGATATTCTAATTAATTACATAGCTCTGCAGAGGTCAGCAAGCTTTTTCTGTAAAGGACAGTTAAAAAATATTTTAGGCTTTGTGGGCCAGATGTCACTTTTGCAACTACTTTACCTGCTGCAGTATGAAGCAATCTTAGACAATACACAGACAAATTGGCATGGCTGTTTCAATAAACTTAATTTACAAAACAGGCATGGTCCAGATCTGGCCTATAGGCCATAACTTCATCAACCAGTGCTTTGCTGGAAAACATATCAAAACACACACAGACACATACATACACACACACTATCTAGTCAGATAACATGAAATAATTTAGTCTCATTTTTATATTGCATATATTCTAGAAAGCTAATTATAATCTAAGTTAGATATTATGTTAATCACACATATACATACCAAAAGGAATGTCAAAGTCAACCAAAGGCTGGAACCACAATGTTCTTGTTGTTCCTAATGAATTGCCAAATAATTAATCTATGATTAACTGAAAGACATTTATTATTTTGGAAAAAATACTCAATAGCTATGAAGATTACTGCATTCTCAGGTATAGGTTCCATTTAACATTCTAGACATAACTATTCTATCAAATTATTTTCTCTATCAAAGTAACTATAAAAGAGTTCATGAAATTAATAAGTTAAAATAATAAAAAGACCATTACCAATTTAATGTATAGTTATAAGTTAACCAATGTGCAATTCTCCACTACAAAGTACTTTGATATTCAAATAGTACCCCATCCTGTCAAAATCTTTCATGGATTTGACATTTTTAACTAAGTGCCACCAGGCATGCTTCTTGAGTAACCTACTAAAAGTGTGCATTTAAAAAAATTAATGTAGCCCGGGCGCGGTGGCTCACCGCCTGATAATCCTAGCACTCTGGGAGCCGAGGCGGGCGGATCGCTCAAGGTCAGGAGTTCAAAACCAGCCTGAGCGAGACCCCCGTCTCTACATAAAATAGAAAGAAATTAATTGGCCAACTAAATATATATAATATAAAATCAGCCGGGCATGGTGGCTCGTGCCTGTAGTCCCAGCTACTTGGGAGGCGGGGCAGGAGGATCGCTTGAGCCGGGAGTTTGAGGTTGCTGTGAGCTAGGCTGACGCCACGGCACTCACTCTAGCCTAGGCAAGAAAGCGAGACTCTGTCTCAAAAAAAAAAAAAACACAAAAAACAAAAATTAAATGTAAGCAAAACTATGTTTCTGTTTTACTTGTTGTCGCAAAAACAGCTAAATAGACAGTCAACAAATTTGGAGGGTATGTTTAAAAAGACTTGACTTAAAATATAGGTTACATAACAAACCTAGAGAAAATCATAGAGAAACCTCAAAGATAGGTGAAACTGCAACAGGAGAAGCCCAAATAACACATTATATGCATTAAGATGTCACAGAAAAAAGCAAAGAGTGATTCAAATATGAAAGAGTCACACAGCAAGGTACCCTAAACTGCAGTTTTTGATTTTCCATCAAGTTGCTTTTGACATTCACAGCTACTACTGTTGTGAATGTCCACTGTTCTGTGGAGAGAAGTAGCAGGGATTTAGGTACTGAATGATGTAAAGATACTCCTAATTATAATCTAAGCTTCCAGAAATCTGACTAGATAAACCACAAAGATATACTAAACTCTGTACATGAAAATCAAGGAAGACTCTATACTAGCTGTTCTATACCTTCGGTTTCTTAATGATTTTTGAATCGTCATTATTAATGATGGAATCCTCTGGTCGAAAAGTCACACTTGGTTTCTCTTCAGTTTTTCAGATCTTTTTTCTTGCAACTCTTTCTCTGCTCTTCTCCTCTGCCTGTTAAACACAAATAGCATAAAATATACTTTTACTATTTATAGTAACATCAGTTTTCATTTGTATCATGCCATGTAGAGAGATAGTTAACAAATTATGTTAATAATAATTTTCTTTTCCTTTTTTTTTTTTTTTTTTTGAGACAGGGTCTCACTCTGTTGCCTGGGCTACAATGCTATGGCATCAGCCTAGCTCACAGCAGCCTTAAA